AGCAAAGTGCATCAGTATGACCTATTTTATGTGTAATTTCCAGAAAAGGTGTAATGCCACGAAGCTAGTGCGGAAAGATTAAGGCGCAGATCTACAAATTATGTCGACAAATAGAAGCAGAGGGCGGAAGTAGGTTTAGTGGCACCATGCGCGAGGATAAGTCGTTTACAGATCGAAAAAAATGACCCCAAGAATACCGGACCGCGGCAGTGACGTAGAGCAATATCTGAGGGCTGCAACTGACGATGTGTTAATTATACCTATGCAAAATACTATCACCAGATGATAGACTAGCTACAAGAAATCGCAAAGATCAAATCAGGCCACTTTTTTCTAACATTTATGATATCCCATGTATTATATATATATCTATGCGTAAGAGTTCACGAAACTACACAAGGTGAGACCATACAGTCACGAGGCAAAATATATTCCCAAGTTACTATTACGATGCTTCAAAAAATCCGGAACACCGTTACCATTACAAGCAGCCCGAATATATATATATATATATATATAGCTAAGTAGGATAATTTAAGGAATACTATATAAAATAGCAAATTTTAACCAAATGCAAATGGAGTATTCGATTGAATTTACATAGCTTAAATACATATAAGCTGGTCCCGAGAGTTTTGGCGAAGACAAAATCCGCCAAATGAGGTATAACGCTTTCAAAAGACAGGAGCAGAACAGCTTAACTAGTGGGTTCTAAAGTTCTGGTAGCAGGCGAGTAAGTGGTTGAGGCGATATTAACGCTTAGGATCAAATGACCGAACAAAATTTTTAGCATATTTATAGCATGAAATGATACAAAAAGGCAATAATTAAAAAAACTAGATTATTTGAAAGAACAGAACAAGTCAGATGTCGCAGTAGCCAGTCAATTATCAGTCGGATGGTTTGGTTTGACGATGGCAGTTAGGACCTTGTTGGAACGACAAAGAAAAACCGAACTATCTTCTTTTTCGACTACAACAACAAGCTCATCATCGTTTTCCAGCTCTCTTGCATGTTTGTATATTGAATTCATCAGGCCAGACGAGCTAGGTTCAATATCTCCACGGGACAAAATACACAACCCCTCACTGTCGATACATGCAACTCCAGTAACCTTTGGATATTTAAATCTATAATCAAGAAATAATTTCAGATAATATAAATGTTATAAGGAAAACACAGGCTCACACGTCATCCAAGCATTTTTCTAAATCCATAATTCAAAAAGAGCGCATTGAAGAGAAGGGCGTATAACGGACCAATTAAGATAGTCTTGTGACTTCGTATGAAATAAGAGCAATGGTGTCACTTAATTGTGCAAAAGTTATAACTATATTAGCTATGG